AGCCCCCCTTGTAACCGGTGACTGCATGTCAGTCTCCTTTGTAACCTGTGTCTGCATGTCAGTCCCCCTTGTAACCTGTGTCTGCATGTCATCCCCCATTGTAACTTGTGTCTGCATGTCCGTCCCCCTTGTAACCTGTGCCTGATTGTCAGTCTCCCTTCTAACCTCTAGCTGCATATTAGTCTTCCTTATAGCCTGTATCTGCATGTCAATCCCGCTTGTAACCTATGATTGCATGTCAACCCCTTCTTTAACCTGTGTCTGCATGTCAGTCCCCCTTGTAACCTGTGTCTGCATGTCATCCCCCATTGTAACCTGTGTCTGCATGTCGGTCCCCCTTGTAACCTGTGACTGCATGTCATTTCCCCTTGCAACCTGTACCTGCACGTCAGTCCCCCTTGTAACCTGTGCCTGATTGTCAGTCCCCCCTCTAACCTGTACCTGCATGTCAGCCCCCCTTGTAACCGGTGACTGCATGTCAGTCTCCTTTGTAACCTGTGTCTGCATGTCAGTCCCCCTTGTAACCTGTGACTGCATGTCAGTCCCCCTTGTAACCTGTGTCTGGATGTCAGTCCCCCTTGTAACCTGTGCTTGATTGTCAGTCCTCATTGCAACCTGTGTCTGCATGTCAGTCCCCTTTGTAACCTGTGTCTGCATGCATGTCGGTCCCTCTTGTAACCTGTGACTGCATGTCAGTCCCCCTTGTAAACTGTGTCTGCATGTCAGCCCTCCTTATTACCTGTGTCTGCATGTCAGTCCCCCTTGTAACCGGTGTCTGCATGTCAGTCCCCCTTGTAACCGGTGTCTGCATATCAGTCCACCTTGTAACCTGTGTCTGCATGTCAGTCCCCCTTGTAACCTATATAAAAAAAGGGGGGCAGTAAGTTGGAACAAAAGTGCTTAGAATCGTGCAGGCTAGCCACTCCAAATTAGGGATCACTCCCAATCTCCCCTTTTAACCTATGACTGCATGTCAGTCCCCCTTGTAAACTGTGTCTGCATGTCAGCCCTCCTTATTACCTGTGTCTGCATGTCAGTCCCCCTTGTAACCTGTGTCTGCATGTCAGTCCCCCTTGTAAACTGTGTCTGCATGTCTGTCCCCCTTGTAACCTGTACCTGCATATCTGTCCCCCTTGTAATGAAGTCAGTGCTCCTGATAACCTGTGTCTGCCTGTCAGTCCTCTTTCCTCTGTGCCAGTAACCCTTATAACTTGTACTTGCTCCCCCATTAAAGTCACTTATAAATTTGTTTGTCTTTTCTTAACTAAAGACAGAATATATATGAAATAACAATTCAGTTTTTCAGTGAAATTATAATACATTCATTAGCTATTTTTCAGACAAAGGCCTCGATGTAATATTGTTACGTAGGTTTCCAAATTATTTAATACGTTTGCATAAACTTCTGAAATAATTTTTTCATCATATTACAATAAAAACAATATATGAACATATAAACAAAGTCTTCTATGTGTACCAGTCTCCTCTGTTCTTCCTTATTATTTACAGCAGTCTCCTCTATCCTATCCCCCTTCCCCTTATTCCATTTTTATCTTCCTTTTAGTCCAATGAAACTTTATCCCCCTTCTCTATATTTCAAATCCATTTTAGCACCCCTTCTCTTTATTTCAGCCTCCTATATCCCCCTTTCCCTCATACCAGGGGTGAAAATGTGGCCCTCCAGATGTTGCTGAATGACATCTCCCAGGATTATCTGGCTATTTATTACATTCAAAGAATCATGGGAGTTGTAGTTAAGCAACATCTGGAGTGGCAGAGTTTGAAGAACCCTGTGGTTTATACAATCTCCCTTCACATTATGTCAATCTTAATATGCCTTTCATGCTTCAAATGCCAGTTCCCCTCCATCCCAACTCCACTTTCTGCCACTTGCTGTCTCCCCCTTGATTTGTTTCCTGTTCTCAAATTTCCCCTTACCTTTTTAGTATTATTTACCTTTTGAGACAAATGTTTAACTTCTTCTAAATCAACAAAAATGGATGCTAAGAAATGTTGAACTTAATGGACTTTTGTGTTTTTACTTGAGGTAATAAACATGCGTTTGTACTGTTTAATTAACTTACTCCTGATGTCAGAACTACTGCACAGGCACAGGTAATCCATATAGAACTGAAATTATACACCAGAGCATTAACCTGCTGCCTGGCCTCTTATCAAACACAATGATGGACTTTAATGTTTGACTTAACTGCACAATGTTTACTTGTCTATTACATTTTAAGAGATGACCTTGGCTTTAAAATCACCTGAGAAAAAACAAAAACAAATATATGTTCAAAGTATTTACTCTCATGTCCAAAACATGATTTTTGAAGAAAACGTGTGCAGTGCTTCCATGAGGCATACTTAAAGGAACAGTCTTATTGTATCTAAGCAGGAGGAACTGGTAAATGGGAGAAAGCAGGAGGAACTGGTAAATGGGAGAGACAAACCAACAACAATTATATATTTTTTTAAAATTATTATTCAGAACTCCAAGCAAAGGTCGTTAGAGGGATCATTCAACAAATGGCTGATAAGATATTGTGCAAAAACAAACCAAATCAAAATGGCAGCCTCTTATAGCACCCTGTTAGTAATCCAGCTGTAGACCTCAACGTTTTGCTCTCAGCATAGGCAGGGTAGTCTGTTTATCTTGCCAATAATCCAGACTTTACTATATAGCATGCAGAAATTCCCAGTTAAAAGGTGTGACAAACTACCCTTCGCCACTGGCTTTTGGAGGGGCCTGATTGCCAGCCTCCTGCCCTGTGACTATGGCCCATGGCTAAAAGACATGTTAAAAAGTGACTTCCATGGGAAAGTGTGCCTCTTCCCCTACCCCTTTTTCCTGTCCTATTGTTCTCCAGCAGGGTGTTGTCCCAGGGACACGGCCAGACCAGTTGAAACTGGCTGCTTTGTCCCTCCTCAATCTCCTATCAGCCCTTGCTATTTTCTGACCCCACCCTTATTTGTACTATAGTGCACTTTTAACATTGGACATATTGAGAGCTCAGATCCAAGCTATCTGGGAATATGTTGGACATATAGGTTAAACATTGTATTATAAGAGTTATGCATTTTTATGTGGTTTTTGTAACAGTTTTTGACTTAGAGATATTTCCTGTACCTGGAGATAATTAAGTTACCACAGCCACTTAAGCCAATTATCTCCAGAATAGAGAAGAAGATAGACCAGCCACACAGCCTAAATCTGTGGAACTATTTTGGGCATAAAAAAACATGCTTGCGGTCGGTCAAATGTGACTTCCCCAAAACGTTTGAACCCCTGCTCTGAGCTGGGTGATTTTGTGGATATGTTGTTCACCCAGATCAGGGCTATCCAGGGATGTATAATGTATGTGGGGGTATGTGGTGTTTTGGGGTGTTTTCTGTGATTTGTGAAAAAATGATATTTTTTGCCTGTGGGTAATTGAGTTAGTCCATTATGTTTGGTAATTGTATCACAGGCAAAGGGGAGGGTTTGTGTACATTATCTGGGAGTGCCTAACTGTACAAGAGTGTTTTGATTGGCTTTGTAACGTTGTGTCCTGTGCTCCACAAGGTACACATGGATGGTAACCTTGTGGGAAAACGTGTATAAAAGAGACAATAAACCCTCTGTTCATTCTGATCTGCTTAACCCTCAATACGTACCCTTGTCTCATTATTGTAGGGAACTACTATATTCACACTGGGGATTTCTATACTTTGTATACTCCCCTGAGCTCTAATCACTTAGCTCTTTTAAGAGCTGTTCCTGATACGCTCTCCTGGAGGAGAGGTCTTTCCCACACGGTCCTGGAGTACAGAGGTTAATCAATGGTGGAAGGAAGACGGCAAGACTCCAGTTAAGCTATGGCGGTTGTGGAGTCTGCGGTGATTGTGGTGTCAGGTGCAGTGCTTATGGTCCTCGGCGTCAGCTAGGAAGCGTCCATCAACGGAGGTGCCCAGTCAGGGTGCCAGGTGATCCGTTACAAAAGGTAACTATCTTTCAATGGAAAAATAATAATTTAGGATGTTGACATATGTGACAAGATGGCCTATGCCATACAAATCCCCTCCTTCTCTAACTAGCTACTTTACAGAGCTTTGTGAAGAAGCTGCTGCCATGATGGGACTCAAGCATATGGCTCCATAACTCCCAACTCAATGGGATTTTCAGGAAGCCAGTGAGAAGGAGGTAAAGTGGTGCAATTGTGTCAGCAGCTCCCCCCCAAATGTGTGGGCCCACCTGGAAGGGGACGGGTCCGCCCACGTTAATGGCAGGACAGCCAGGCGTAAATGCAAGCAAGGCTGCCTGTCCATCACTCAGACCTGCCCCCTGAGAGCAAGACATGCAGAGATCAATGTTTCAGTGTTCCCTGCAGGGTCTTAGCTCACTGAGCATTGTGCAAGTGCGTATTATAATGTACTCATGCTATGATTGTTGCGGACAGTTCCCTGGTGTCCCCAAAGGTGGGTCATCATGCAACAAAGCCAGGACGGATGGAAAGATGGTGAAAATCGAGAATGTCCTGACGAAATCGGGACAGTTGGGAGGCCTAGAACTCATGTATATGTATGACTATAGCTCCACTCATGAAAGAAGCACGAATGAAGCTATCTGTATGCTGATAGGAGCCAGCAGTGTTAGCATTTACCGTATTATGTTACCTTGAATGATTCTAGTCATTATCCTGTAAACTGTTTGAAAAAGTTGTTTTCAGACACTGAGTGTTTTCTCTACTGCAACAAACCCAGACCAGCCAAATTACATGATTTTATGTATGACATCTGATTCTGTTACTCCTGCCAATCACCCAGCAGTCCAGCTCTGCTACCTAGCTTTGGAAGAATGAAGTAAAGTTTTAGCACAAGTGCCTGATTAAATGCGTTTATGCTATGCTTTTGAAGTGTTTCAGGGCATTTAAGTCCTTACGCAAGTGTGTCAGTAGCGCACAGCATATAGACCGTGCTGATTGGCTGTTCTTCTGGCTACCTGTTAACCTGGAAGATGTTCACCAGGATAATACTTTGCCTGTATGCATGGGCATGTTATCCATATCGATAATTGCATCGTGGACTAGCCCACCTGTTGAGTCTGAAGTTGTAAAAGTTGTAGTATGTCCAAAATCCCAGGACGTCAGTTGTTTCTTGATGCTGGATCTCCACATCTGGCACCAGCAATCATCCCACCACGTAAGTGTCCTGCAACATATATTTCCTGTTTTAATGTTTAGATAAACAACAACTAGACCTCTTCATCATGGCTTTAGATATTGAGTTTCAACCACATGTTCTGCTGTTTAGCTCTTTGCATTAACAAAGTGGCTACAGAGAGAGGATGTGTGGTTAATTAACTTAACAATGAGTTGCAGAAAAGTGAAATCCAAATGGCAAACTATAGGCTAAAAGAGCCAAGCTGTGTCCACACATATTGGCTTCTATGTAGTACGATAGGAAGCCAAAATTGAAGCAGTGCTCACTCTATTTGTCTTAATTGAGAGAGGGCTGTATAATGTTCTCATGTTTTATTGTACTCCATTTCCTGTTGCAACAAAGTGGGTCTCCATCAAAACTCAATTTAACTCTATTTCTCTTTATGGGTTATTGTGACCACCAGACTTCCTTTCATTTAAGAATTTTACCTAATTCAGTGACTCATTCTCTTCATCTCTGAAGGACACATGGACATACTAAGGGCATGACTTCCAAGGATTCTGGACTGACATATATTTTTTTCCTTGTTATTTGCACCTGGTCAATTCATCGTTTGTGCCTGGTGTATAGATAGGTAGATAGATCTGATCTTTACCAAAAAGTAACACTGTCCTGCATATTGAAACACTGGAAAATGGTTACAGTGTTCTGACTCAAATTTGTTTGCTAATTACAGCTTAAGCATTTTGTTCAACATTACCTGTAAGCCTTTAGGGTTGTCCCTTCCACCATATTTCAAAGTAGTTGCCTGAATCCAGTTAAACAACTAGGATTAATCTTTTAATTCGATACAAATCTTCATAAAATTCTAACACTACCAGCATATATACAATAATGGGAAATGGACCTAAATTTTACCTTGAGGGATATTACTTCTCCAACAAAATCACAGAGTATACTCTCATTAAGGAGAAACACATTTTATCTAGATAATATTTATATAATCAATGTTTTCAGCACATTTAACAACTGACCACATGGCTACCGAAATTTTTTAACTTTTTATCATTTTTATTGGACATGTCCAGGATCAGATTAAGGGCCTGGAGCTGAAAGCGGCCCAATTAAATACGTATATTAATTTAATGGACCTAATTACATGAGTATATTAAAGGAACACTCCAAGCATCATAACTACTACAAATCCCAAGTGTCCTGGCTCCCCCCACTGTTAATAGTCTAAAGGTTGTTAGAATGGTCAAGCGCTACGGAATCTGTTGGCGCTATATAAATGGCAATAATAATAATACTAATGGTCTGACTAATTACCTGTGGTCCACATGGCCCTGCTCCCCCCACTCCACTACCTTGCTTAGGAGACTTCTGTTAGCTCCCCTGAGCTAAGCCATGCACTGCAGAGTAACCTCATTGAATGAGAACACCAGCTGATCCCTCTCAGTCAATGAACTAAGCCATGCTGCAGTGTTACCTTATTGGCTGAGAGCATTAGCTGATCACTCTCAGTCTCAGCCAGTGAACGAAGCCAGGCAATGCTGGGTTACCTTATTGGCTGAGAGCATTAGCTGATCACTCTCAGCCAATGAACGAAGCCAGGCTGCAGTGTTACCCATAGACATAGAATACATAGATGCCGCACGTATATGCCATTGCGTGCTGAGCGTCGAGGAATGCGGGCGCCATCTTGGACCGGTCGCCGCTCTACTCAAGCTGTTGAAGAACCCTTGGAAAGTCCATCTCACAAAAGGTAAGTGAAGGACTTGGGGCACTTATAGTCCTTAATACCCCTACCCCTAGTCCTTAATACCCCTAGTCCTTAATACCCCTAGCCCTTAATACCCTTAGTCCTTCATACCCATACCCCTAGTCCTTAATACCCCTACCCCTACAGTGTTAATACCCCTACCCCTAGTCCTTAATACCCCTACCCCTAGTTCTTAATACCCCTACAGTATCCTTAATACCACTACCCCTAGTCCTTAATACCCCTAGCCCTACCCCTTAATACCACTACCCCCAGTCCTTAATACCCCTACCCCTACAGTGTTCATACCCCTACCCCTAGTCCTTAATACCCCTAGTCCTTAATACCCTTACCCCAGCCCACATAGCCCTTAATTCCCCTACACACACAGTGTTAATACACATAGTGTACTGGGGGAGGGGTATTAACACTGTGTGTGCTGGGGTAGGCTGGGGTAGGGGTATTAACATTGTAGGGGTATTAAGGACTAGGGGTAGGGGTATTAACACTGTAGGGGTAAGGGTATTAAGGACTAGGGGTAGGGGTATTAAGTGGTAGAGCTAGGGGTATTAAGGACTAGGAGTAGTGGTATTAAGGACTAGGGGTAAGGGTATTAAGGACTAGGGGTAGGGGTATTAACACTGTATGGGTAGGGGTATTAAGGAGTAGGGGTAGGGGTATTAAGGACTATAAGTGCCCCAAGTCCTTCTCTTACCTTTTGTGAGATGGACTTTCCAAGTGTTCTTCAATAGCTTCAGTAGAGCGGCGACGGGTCCAAGATGGCGCCCGCATTCCTCGCCGCTCAGCACACAGTGCACGTCTAGGTATTCTATCTCTATGGTGTTACCTTATTGGCTGATCACTCTCAGCCAATGAACGAAGCCATGCAATGCTGGGTTACCTTATTGGCTGAGAACAGTCGCTGATCACTCTCAGCCAGTGAACGAAGCCATGCGATGCTGGGTTACCTCATTGACAGTGATCACTCTTGGTCAGGTTTCTGTCTGGTTTGTTTGTTCAGCAGTGATGATATAATTCTTCAGATGAAATCACTCCAAATCTGTTTTTTCCATTTCATACGTTCAGAATGACCGTGGCAGACACTGCGACCATGAAGATTTCTCTGGTTTATCTGATAAAATCACATGTATAGCCGTGGGCTTTAACTTCCAGCATATGTCATAATTTAGGTTAATCTCTTTAACATTACTCGGCCTTCATATATGGCACCCACCTACCCATGTGTTCTTTCTTTAGGTCAATTACTTGGTAAGAATTTATAAGGAAAACAAACATTTTGCCTAATTAAAGACTTTGAGCTAACACCAGTCATATTAAGTGTTAGCCTATGACTCACCTAGCAGGACTGCCATTCAGTTCTACTAAAAAGCTTTGCTGTTTTAAAGTGAACATTTCAATTTGGGATAGGGCAAAGGTAACTTACTTTGTTTTTGTTGTTGTTGATTTTAATACATATTATAATGGTTGATTTCTATGTGGGTATGGATAACAGTTTGGCATTAATTTTAGTTGCAATCACAGGTTTGCTGCTTGACCATATAACCCTTCATTAGGCTTTGCATAGTCTTATGCATATATCTGCAATTTAGGGCCTGAAAAAAAAAATAAGTTTGCTTGAAAATCTTCATCAAAACATTTGTTTTTCTATAACAGCCTACAATCAACACACTTTAAGGAGCTTCCACATCCATCTTTTTTAGACCACCAACTTCTGCCATAGGAAGGATGTATAGCCTGGTGATGGGTCATGGATGGACCCAGGGGCCAGTAGTAGATGGATGCAGACACGTCTGTGGAGCCGTGAGCTGAGTAACCTTTGGGGTCTAACAGCTACTAAATAAGTAAGAGTTTTCAGCTTTTGTGTTTTCAATTCTAATTAATTAAATCACAAATGGAACATTTTGGCAGAATTATGGTCAGTAAAATGTGTTTATATTTAGATTGCAGACGTATCGTACTCAATAGCCTTCTCCATGGGAAAAAAAATGGATTGTAAGGGGGGACGGAGCCTAAGCCTCATGCTGAACAGACGTGTACTGAGAAAGCTCCCGCTTGTCTCGCTGAATATGGGGGGCAACCACCTACCACAGCACCCAAATCGAGGGGATCCCACGCAGCCTAAACTGGGGTGCAGTGGGGACCACAACGATACTTTTCACGGAACCCTCTGATGTTGGAAAGACAGGAGAAGCTTGCTGAGGCCTACGGGCGATGGGACATGGGAAGGACGGCCGACTTCCCCACTCTCAAGCTTGCTGTGCGGGCCCCCTCTGCTCCGACCCCTCCCCCCCCAGACCGCCGGGGGTTATACCGGTCCCTGCCAAGTCGATCTGCTCAGTCCTGACACCAGTATGGAAACTACCGCATCTAAAGAGCACACTCACATGCCTGCTAAAATGGCGGGAATGCCTTCCGCGAAGTAGCAGAGCCTGAAGCCAACCTGTTCTGAGGGCAGCAGTAGCATGGAGAGCACCTTGCAGAGACTGGACTCAATGTTCCAAGACTTCTGGGCTCGTCTTGTTGTCATGGCGACAACACTGCAGCCTACAGACCAAGCCCAAGCCAAAACTTACTGTCTAGCAAACTACCTAAGAGACATGGGCCTCAGCATCATCCTGCCTCAACCCCAGTATAGGACGGACTTGCAGCCCGTGCAGAGCGCCAAAATCCTCAGTTCCAGATCGGCACTGGCAGCATCTATGTTAGACCAGCCTGTCTTATTTTAACTACTCTTTTATGTATGCCTTCTCTTTAGGTTAACAGCCCATATGCTAAGATAGCAGGTTAGGCAGTATTCTACACGAGCATAACATAACATAACCTAACCTGACAGCCTGTCATTAATGTCTCAAGCATGATAGCAGCTCTTAGTAAGACTACTACTACTGTCAGTTAAGCAACCTGTAACACTTCTACTATCACACCCTGACACACTATAAATGCTTATTTTTTCTTTACTACTACTCGTATAATATGTCTAGCCTAACTACTCTTGTTACTTTCTATTATAAAATGGTGCATGCATTCTCTTTTCCCCAAATGTAATGCGTGAAGCTATGCCTGAGGAGTGCCGTTGGGGTACCTCACACTTGTCTGTTACAATAAAATGAACTGCAAAAAAAAAAAAAGGGATTGTAGATTTCGAAAGAAAAAAAAGATGCAGAGTGTGATGACTGACCATGGATGTATCCAGGAAGATGGAAGATGGTTGCAGACAAGTTTGTGGATCTGTGACCTCAGTAACCTTTGGGGACTAACAGCAAACTATTGAGAAAGAATTTCAATCGAGGTAATTATTTCAATCACACATGGAAAATATTGGCTAAAGAACACTCAGTAAAATGTGTTTATATGTGAATTGTGTGTAACAAAAAGCATAATAAAATTTTAATTTGGAAGATAAATAAAGTTGCACAGCCTGGTGACTGACTCTGGATGGATCCAGGGACTGGTGGAAGACGGAGAATGCATGTATGTGGAACCGTGACCTGAGTTACCCTGGGGTCTCACAGCTACTCCTGATCTAAGGAAAGAATTAGGTAAGAATTTGAAGCTTTTACATTTTGGGGTCAATTAGTTTGATTAATTTAAGTGGGTTTAGTTACACAAATGGCCACATGTAGTATATCGAGAACAGGAGATATGTGGCAAGTATTTAATCCAAATTAGACCTTAAAGTATAAACATATTTTGCTTTATGATAAATGGAGTTGGATATGCTCATTTTGCAATACCATTGCTTTCATCAGTACGGCTTATTTATATTATGGGTGTGTTTTATAGTGTGAATTTCTCACTATGAGTCTAAGGGGTATCTACATTATTGAGGCATGTGTGATTTTGTTCTGTTTTTACTTCACCCAGTGAACCATCAGATGTCCTTCAAGAAGCCCAAGTCAAACTGGTACAAGAAAATCCAACAACTATTAGCAGTGATTTTTATTTCAGGCGGGAGGAGAAAGGGGAATGGTTTGTTTTTTGTATCTAACTGTAGTACCCATTGCCCTCCCCCGGTAATGGTAGTCTGGATAAACCATTAAGACAGTTGGGCATGCCAAGATCTTGGATTATTGGATGAAATTGCCCCATCTGAAGATAAATTTCAGACAGGCTCAGTCTGATCCTAGAATGGTTCTCTAACATCTGTCATTTGCTATGCTCTGGGTTGTCTGAGCCTGTACATGGCTCTCAACAGTGGGTCATGATCGCCATATAGACATGAAATAAAGCATACAGTGCACTCCCAGCAATAGCAATTTGTGAATCCTTTGGACTTTGATTGTCAGACTTACTAGATGGGCTGAAAGGTTCTTATCTGCCGTCACATTCTATGTTTCTATGTTGTGCACGAAAATACGTTTAACAGAGAGACCCACCATGCCACAACAGCACCAGTGAGCACATTTGAAACAATGAACAGCCAAGCCATTATAAAATCATCACAATGTTACAGTAAACATAGCTGACTAGATCTGCATGTGTGAGTCTCTATATCTGGTACAGTTTAAGAGCAGCATAAGGGCCCACCAAGGAACAAACAGAGTGATAGTCGCCGGGTCCTAAGTGTGGGGTTTTGCATTCGCTACTGATGTCCCTATTTGTCGCAAAGAGTCCCATGGGAGGCCCAGGGTGTCAAAGAAATCCACGGTGCCTCACAGGTCTTGCACTGTGTGGATTGAGTTGCCTTGTAGAACCTGGGGGGTCCTTGACCCGTGCCTTCTATTGCGGACGTTGTGGTTCCTAAGGAGTATGGTGAATGGACATAGGGACCTCCACCATTGCAGTGTATCTCCAGACAGGTCTGAGAAAAAGGTAAATTCCATGTTCTCAAATGAGTATGGAGTAATCACCTTTATGGTTGACTGCTTTGTCACTGTGACTACGGAAACGCAGCACCACATGCCAGGGCACTGTCTCAGGGGCCTTCAGAGGTTTAGGAACTCTGAAGAACTCGTCTATGGAAATTTGCTTGGCCTGCTTTGGTGACAGTAAGGCTGCCAGAAGTCTCCTCGGGAGGTGCGGAATCTCCGCTACTGGAATGTTCTCCGAGATGCACCTGATCTTCAAGTTTTTTCGGCGTCTTAAGTCCTCCAAAGCCGCAAGACCGCCTGCTGTTGTTTCAGAGCCTACACCTCTTGTTCAAGTGAGGTGATCTTCCGGGCTTGGTCGTCCGCGGAGGCCTCTACTGAGCTCAGTCGGCCTACAAGACTGTAGGGACGCCATGTCTGCTTGGAGCGTTTTATGGAGATTCGCCTCCGTTGTCACTCCGTTGAAATTCCGGTATTAGTGGAACAGACTGAGTAGGTGCTTGAAGTGGTAAGTCAATGTTCCCTCTGCTTAGTGGAAACTCCTGTGAGAAATCTGAGGAGTCATCTAATTCCACAGATATCTTGGGCCCACATGCACCTGGTGCTTGTCGTAAGAGATTGTCATGCTCGATCTGGTCTTGTCGGACCTTTGCTTCTTGGTCTTACAACCCATTGGAGCTAAGAATAGAATATTGCCAAAATTTTGGACTGTAAGGTAACCCAAAACTGCAGTTTAGAGCGGGTCTTCCCAGAGCTCTGCAAATGTGCAGCTAGTCTCTTCAACCGCTAGGCTCTGCCCCCCGACAATGTCTTAATATTGAGACCTTAAACTTAGTCTAAGGCTTATTTTGGTCCTATAGCTTCTCGGGTGGGAAGTCATTCTCCCTGGTGTTCCACCCTTGGCTCCACAACTGGTAGCAGCTTGTGGGATCAGACATGGGCACATGGTGGGATGGCTCACTT